TTCCTGCTCCAAGCCAGAGCTATTCATAACCTTCCTCTGGATTCTTTTATCATCTCCTTTTTGAGACAGAGAAAGGCACTAGGGGTGCACCATATGATTGCATGCACAATGCAATCACCATATGATGGTGATGTGATCATGTTTTGCATTTTGTGTTTGATTCTTTCCTAATAATTCCTAGTGCTGAAGTAGCTCCCTTGCCTGTGACTGAGCACCGAATCAATGCTGTATTTCTCTTTAACATAGAATATGTGGAGATGAAATAGACGGTGGTGCAATGACCATCCAGAAAGCCATTCAACTTCTGTGCTCCTCCGATGACAAATACCAGGCTATGGGTGCTTACTACCTCCAGCACACCTGCTTCCAGGATGAATCTGCCAAGCAAGAGGTGAGCTAATTTCTTCACAGCTCTGCAAATGCATTGGATGTGAGGGCACACTAGTTGGATGAAACTGGTTCCTCTCAGTGCCTAGCATCCATAGCTTCTCTTAATTTTGATTATGGACTCTCAAGCTTCGTTAGTCCCACATGGGAATTAATTAAGTGGATTTTTCAACTAATAGTGGCCACTTTCTCTTAATAGCAGTGGGATCTGCTATTAAGGGGAATAGTTACCAGGCAGGAGACTGTGGCCACGTTATCACCATAACATTCTGTGACACGGATGGGTGGGTTTTGGTGACAGAAGAAGCCAACCAAATGCAGTCTCCTCTCCTGCATGCAACTGCACCTGTTTCCACATGAATCTCCTGCTATCTCAGAGCTGCAGTGTCCAAGTAAGTTGCACAAAATTGCCCTAAATCCTGCTGCAATTTCTTTATTGTGCATTGCTCAATGACATTTCAGCCATTCACCTAATCCAATGGGTTGGTCAGTGATCATGTATAACGATATTTAATCAAACAGAAGCGGTCCTCATAGCACAGCTTATTTTTCTTGTGTTCTTACTCTCTAATTACAATGTTTATGGCAACACATAGCTTAAAGGATGGATCTGCTGTAGCAACATTCTTTCACAAAAGTTTATCCCCATCCTGCTTTGTCTGCAGTCATGAAAATGTGGATTTCTCAAGATGGCATCTGTATAAAGGTGACTTTCTGTTTTCTGGCATAATGGTGGTGTCAGATAGGCTGGCATAGTGCGTGAACATACCTTTGTGTCCTCGGTGCAGCTGAACTGAGCGCAGGGACCTCTGCCTATGTTATAGTCACTAATTGTGGTGTGACCACTCCCTGCGTTACCGTTGAGAACGCACCGAGCGCCGGCCTGTCCCATCACTTCCCAGAAAGATGTGTTAGAGCAAGTATAAAATGAGTCATCTGAATACATGCTTGTTTTCTTTCCTTTTTAAAAAGCACTCATTCATCTTCTGTTGTCAGCAAATCTTCAGCCAATAGGTTTGTTTGTGCGAGTAGGGCCTCCAGTGAGACTTATGTCTTCAGCATACCTGGCACAGTAGGAAATCCTATGGCAGAAGACTTAATTATAATTTTCAGAAAACCTCAGCTGGTGGAATTCACGTGGCTTTCAAACCTCCTCAGCATGCATGCTATGTCTTTTATGTCTGGATTCACACCCCTTTCCAATGTGGCCTGATGTACCCTCCCCTTTTCAGTACTAGAATATGGCCTATTGCTTCTAGTTGACCTCTAGGGCATTTACACTGTACCACTACCTTCCCTCTAGTTCAGCCTGTGATTTCAGGATGCAAATAAATTACCATGTTTTATTATAATATTGCTGTAGATGTCCTCTACGTATTTGCAGGGCCTCATTTTCAGCTAACATAAACTGATAGAGGTAAGTGAGAATTTGTGGGAGTAAGCAGTTTTATATCAACGAAGGATCTGGCCCATTACTCACATGCATCCTTTATTAAAAACTGAGCTTCAATCTCAAGGATTGCACCAGGGTGCCTACTACCTATGGCCTGAACAGATATATCATTTGCACGCTCTAGCTGTTCTTTACTGCCAGGTCTATTTTTCACATTCCTGTGAGTATGTGCCATGTTGACTTCTTGCAATTCTGGAACTGTTACAGTTATCCCTCTCTGAGTAATGCTTTGCACACTGCACTGATGGTGGTATGCTTTTCATGGCACAGGTCTATCGGCTGGGGGGAATCGCCAAGCTTGTTGAACTGCTCCGCAGCACAAACCAGAACGTTCAGCGAGCAGCAGCTGGAGCCCTCCGAAATTTGGTCTTCAGGAATCCAACCAACAAGATAGAAACCCGACGGCAGAATGGGATAAGGGAGTGTGTGAGCCTTCTACGGAGAACAGGGAACACTGAAATTCAGAAACAACTGACAGGTACACAGCAGATTGCCAAGAGCCCCTCAGCTGGTGTCATTCCAGATACTGATTACACCAGTCTTGAGCATCCTAGAGGCTCACCTGTCAACAAGGACCATGGTCCTCCCTGTCTGTGGTCTGTGTTGTTCAGCACTTAGAGGCTCAGTAACCACGGTGCTGCCATATGACAAAGAGGAAGTTTTATGCCCCTGATGCATGAAATGGCAACTCAAAGCACAAGGCAGAGGAGGTCCTGGCCTTTGGATATCCTGCAGGGACTCCCCATGCCGCAAGTGCCCAAAAGGGCTACATGCTACATCTGCCCCAGGTTTCCCTCCACAGCTGTGGTCACCCAGACTTTCTCATGCCTTTCTGCACCCTTGGCCCCCATGCTGTTCCCAGGGAAGGCCCAAGGCACTGGTGGCCCCCAGAAGGTTGAGCAGGTTGTCTGGTTGGTGTCACAGCTTTTCTTGAAGGATTGACACAGATTTGTTGGCACAGGTCACCCTCAGCTGTGCCTGAGATTCTGTGTTCAAACTTTCACGAGATCCCTGGAGAGATGCCTTCCCCTTGCTGCATGAATGGCAATAAATGCCAATTTGGGGAGGCGGGAGGATGCACAGATGCCCATCTGCACAAGATAAGAGGCCCAGTTGCCCATTCTGCCTTTCTGCTACTTGGATGGACAGAGACTAGGGTTTAGGGCAGTCTCTGCCCCTAGTCAGTTCAAAGAGGGATGGAGTGAACAAGGGTTTTGTTGCTGGAATTCACACTGGTCTAAAGAAAGTTTCTACTGCATTGTGACCTTCTGCTAGAGCTGGTCTCCCATTTCCTTTCTAGGACTGCTCTGGAACCTCTCTTCCACTGATGAATTAAAAGAAGAGTTGATACAGGAGGCCCTCCCTGTCTTGACAGACTGTGTTATCATCCCTTTCTCCGGCTGGTCTGATGGCAGCTGCAATAGGACAAGAGAAATTATTGACCCAGAAGTATTCTTCAATGCTACAGGGTGTTTGAGGTGAGTCATCAAGCAGGGACTTACTGTAGTTTGCCCATTTGTTGATATAAGCTGAAGATGTCTAACTCCCCCTTCATTAATATCTTTACAGTGAGTATATTTTTACATATTCTCCTTGAGAAGGTTTTCCTGACTAGAGGGAGGAGAAAAACTCCCATGTAAAACATTTTTAGCAGGATAGCATCTTCTTTTTTTTCAAAATAAGTTTGTTTTTGCAAAGTCTCTCCTCAAAAAAATACAAGTTGCTCTGTCATTGGAGAGCTGCAATACTGAAGCATGACAGCATTTGACTTAGATCAGGAAACTTGGCACTTTTTGCCCCTAGAATTTGAGGCTTCAAAAGACAATTTTGGTTGCTAGAAAAAAAAATGGTTTGAGTTTTAGATGATAAAAGAAATAATTCTCTATGTGTGGGAAACAAGCGTTTTCCCATTGATTTTAATAACTGTTTAACTACAGAATATCTCATTGCCCTGGACCTCTACTGATGCTGCCTGACCTACGCAATTTACTGTCTATCAGCTTGTTTCGACAGATGGGTCAGCTATAAAATGGGAGGTGCAGCTCAAGCCCAGAGTAGGTTATCTCTTCACAGAAAAGCCAGAGCCCTTTTGTAGGGGATCTTCGTCCTGACTTGCTGTTTCTCCTACCACCCTCCTCCACTTGGATGCAAGCTTCTTGTCTCACTGGGAACAAGTAGGGAAAAAAAAACAACAAAAAAAACAGTATAATTAGGTACTTTCATCAACTGAAGCTCTCCCTGAGGGAGTGCACAGCTGACCACACCCTTACCAGACATGCAGCTAGTAGGAGCTGTATCTGCTTACGAAACAAAATGGGTGAATATGGTAGGGGCCTTTTGAGACTTGATACTATCGTCTTCTGAGGCTGGGAAATGTGTCTGAAAGAAAGTGAGTGCAGCTCCTTTCCCTTGTCTTGGAAAGCAACTTTTCTCATGCAATTGCATGTCAGGGTGAGTGGTATATGTCACATATGAGTCACTCGACTTATAAGATCGTCTAAACCCACCGATGCCACAAGATAGTCCATTAAAATAAGGAAAGGAGTATGATATTAGAGCCTGTAAAAAGGGCTTTCCAGAGAATTTAGCTCAAGGCAGGCTCTATCTCCTAAGACTTGTTTATTGCAATCTGTGGCAGTAATACATGACACTACCACTATCAGACTACAAGTCAGTCAGGAAGCTCCAAAAGCTTGGAGAAGCAGGACTCAGGAGCATCCAGAGGAAGCAAAGCATGGGAATTGGGTTCGGAGCCCCTGCTCCGAGGGATGAACCAGGAGAGCTATGACTCACTGCACTGCAACATCATAACACAGAGATGAGAACAGCCTTGGGTTTGCCCTGGGGGTCGAGCCACTGCTGCTCAAGCATTTCTGGATTGCAGATGGATTCATGTTAATGAGGAGGCTGCAAATCACAGTGAACATCATATCCGGTTCTGGGATGCCTGGAGTGAATATCTCACAACAATTGCCAACCTCTCTTTTTCATTTGCAAGCTACAAGGCATTAAAACAGGAAAGAAAGAAGGGAAAAAAAAAAGCATTTTCTGTTACTGGAAAAACTTCTCTGTCCTGGCATCAGCCTACTGGAGTGCTCAGGAATACAGTACAATTTGGTCAATCTCTCTGGTCAGAGCTATTACTGCAGTTTATCATGCCTGCCCTCATTTCCCATGCAAATTGCTGTCAACCCTATGTAGCTCCGTAGTCACAAACATTTACACATTCCTGATTTTTCACAATAGTTAAAGATGGTCTTTATTCGGTATGATCTTTGGAAACACCTCCAAAGAGGCAGTCAGTCTGTGTAACATCATGTGCATAGCCTCTAAGGCAAAATAGCGCTGTTAGTTATTCTTGATAGGAGATCTTCTATATAGAGTTCTTTAAGAGGACATTTTCCCAGAGAAATCCATATAAAAAAGCAACATGAGAGCTATGCAGTCCCACAGAAGGCCTGTAAAATGAAAGCAGTACACCGCCTTGCTGAATCCTCAAAAAAAAAAAAAAAACCCTTAAATTCAACCAGAGGCATAGACAGAAAAGGACTGATAAAGACTAGTGAGTATACTCAACTCGTCCTCTCTCCTCCTTCTCTCCTGACACGTTCTGCAATGTCCTTCATCAGAAACTTGAGTTCTGCAGACATGGGGCGCCAGACCATGAGGAATTACCCTGGCCTGATTGATTCAGTCATGACTTACGCTCAGAACTGCGTGGCTTCTAACCGACCTGATGATAAGGTACCAGATACTCCTCCTAGGCTGTCTGCTGGAGTTCAGTCCTAGCAGACCCACAGTTAATAATTGCAACCTTGGGAATATCTCAAAATCCCTTTCAGATTCAAATACAAGAGATGATGGGGCTCTGTGGCTCCTCTTGTGCCATCAAATCCCAGTGTGACCTATTGTAGTATTGCAAAGCCTCCGTGCTGTTGGCCTGAAGTAGATGTGAGTTTTACAATTTCCCTTTACCAGCTCAGAGCCACAGAAAAATATGCTGGCTCCTGTGCCCCCAGTATGCTTCCCTACCTCACCCTCCCACTCCAGGATCCTTCTGGCGGTCTTGACCTAAATCTCTAGGTTGCCCTATCACACATCCATTTCTCCAGCAGGGCTGAAGTTTATAAACCCCAGTTTGTCATCACAGTCAGTAGGGAGCCAGGAGCTGGCATCATTCTGCCACTCCCCAAACTGTGACTCTCGTCACTGTGTGTAAATAGCACTTATCTTGAGCAGAACAGTGTTTATGGCCACACTTTCGGGAGTCCAACACCTGCAATACTAGCCAAAATTCCCTAAGTCCTCAGTTCCCAGCAAGGTATGAAAATTATTTCAAATGAGCTCAGGATTGAGCAAATGCTCTTTTGGGCATAGCTTTTACCAATAGACGAATTCCAGCAGCACACAATGAACATAGCTCTTTGGAAATGTAGCTGCATGTCTGCATGTTTTGTTGTTGGCTACAGGTATCTAGCAAAAATTCTCCCTTACCACATCCAGGTAAAGCAGATTTAAAAGCTTGCTCTTGTAAAAACGTCCCAGTCTGTAGCCATTACTTGGATAAAGTCATTGGAAGTTGAATATGGAATGAGGAAGACTCTCAAGATTTGGTGTATTAAATTTCTTGCCAGGCAGCTTGATAAACCTATCTTCTGCACTCATTCTCTTTCTCTTCCTCTTCATCAATTCAGCAGTGACAGTGGAACCTAATAAGGCCTATTCGGTCAGTCAACTCATTGAGATCCACAGTATCGCATTTGCTAATTTTTCAGCCACAAGGCTTTGCGGCCTTAGTTCATGACTACTCTACCTCTTTTCTCCTGTTTGTCTCCCATCCATTGCTCCATTAAGCAGGGTCAAGATCTTATAAAATAGAACACCAGAAAAAGATAACTATGTCATGGTCTATGTCCTCTCTGTAGCTGTAGCAGATAATGCTCCATGGTTCTGCCTAATGTAATGTTTGCATCTTTATTCTGGGGGTGATTTCAGTCTGTGGAGAATTGCATCTGCATCCTGCACAATCTCTCCTACCGCCTGGATGCTGAAGTTCCCAACAGATACACCCAGCTCAACCACATGGCCCGGAGTGTTTATATGGACAAAACTCTCACAGGCTGCTTCAACAGCAGGAGTGGCAAAATGGAGGTAAGATACACTGCAGAGGGCTTGGAAATGTGATATTCAGCCCCAGACATGGGCTGCAAGCAATTAGCAGGGTCTGAACTTGCAGACTCTCATCTCTTCGTAGAATGATGAGTATGGTGTACCCCTTCCTGAGGAGGATTATAAACCTAAAGGACCCAGCTGGCTCTATCACTCTGATGCCATCCGCACTTATCTGTCCCTGATGGAGCACAGCAAGAAGGACGCCACTTTGGAAGCTTGTGCTGGGGCCCTGCAGAACCTCACTGCAAGCCGAGGGCTGGTAAGGTCTCCCTCTCTCTCCTCCGTGCACGTGTGGCCAAACATATCATTGCCTTACAGTAGTCAGAAGGGAAAATGCATTTTTTTAAACCTTAGGGCACTATCACAGTTCTTTCCACATCAGGTGCTCCAGCTTAGATACTTATAAACTCTAAAGATAGCATTTCAAGGGGAGCTAGAATCAGTGACCTAAGGGGTCTGTCCCAAATCTGCGTACATCTATATACAGCTTTCCAGGGGTACCTCCAGATTTTCTGGTCTGCCAGTCACAACACTAGCATCTGCTGGTATTGGCCCCCGCGCCCCAGGACACCAGTGTGGGTGTGCATAGATGTGCACATGTGGACAGCCGTCATTAAATTGTCCATTAGAGAGAAAGGACATACATGTGCAGCCACCTGTGCATGTTTTTATAGTGGGAGGTGGTTCTAATAACAGGGTGGGTTGTGCTGTGGATTGTAGAACATGCTACTTATAAAATAAGCATCACAGGTACTCCTAGTCCTCTTGAGTATGGCAGCATGGAGGTGACACGGGCTGTATAACGCCATGGGTATTGCAGGGGCTAGTGCATGGCAAGTGCCCCACATCACAACAGCAGCTCTATGTGCAGTGCCCAATATCGCTATGGCATGTCCTCACAGGCTGTGTTCATGTGGACAAACCTCAACTTGTCTGTTTGTGTCAAACTTCATCAATTCTAATTTAAATAAGATGGCTAGGTAGATAAACAGATAATTATTTCGTACATAGGAGAGGTGTGTCACGTGTGTGAAGTGTTCCACCCAGAAACACGGAGTGACTCACTGAAGGAGCCTTCACTGCTAGGAGGACATTAACCTGCCAGTGCCAACCTTCTCCTGGAAGCTTTTATTACAAGTCTTTCAATGTGAAAATCCTTTGTGATTTTTTTTTTTCAGCTTAAGTAAATGGTGCCACTAACAATAAGAGGGAGGGAGCCTGCCACTGTGTGGGATAGAGGTGACTGGAGAAATGGGGCTGAAGCTAGGTACTCCATAGAAATGAAAAGCCTTTCAGAGATTATTATATAAAAATGTCTTTTTAGGAGGGGGAGAAAGCAAACAAATAAACAAAGCTTTGACTGAGTTGAAACAACTAATTTCAGCCTTCTGAAAGGGAATAGTTGGAATTTACCAGAGTGTGCAGAAATGGCTTTTTCTTTCAAAGGCCTTATTCCAGCTCAGAGCTGGAATTGGAATGGGTTTCTAGGTTTGTTATCACTTAAGGAAAAGGGAGACTGGTGAGAAGCTTGCAAAGTGATGCCATTAGCCCTGTAGCTTATAGAGGAGGAGTCTGAATCTCTTCTCAGTCTCAGCTTCACACATCTCAACCTGCTGGTATGAATCCCTAACACAGCACATGTGCCTCCTGGAGTGTGGGAGGGAAACTGGATCTCAGCCCTGTGGAAGAGGGTTGCCTCCCAGCTCATTCCTTCTGTTTGCTTGTTACTGTCGGTGGATGTATGTCACTCTCTGGTGGTGTGATGATCTCCAGTAGCCTGTCTGGTGGTGCAATAGCTGAGAAGTTCACTTTAAACTCTACCAACAAGCGGGCAACTTAGTGGTCTATGCTTCAAAGTTCATGAGCACTTGGCTGCATTGGCTCAACCCAAAGATCCTCTAGATTTACATGAGCAAACATGAAATTGTGATCCAAGACGTGCATCGTTGACCTTCAATTTTTTTCTTAAATGTGTTGTTAGCTGTTCCTACTCTGAAGCAGCTTATTCCTTATGGCATGGCAGGGAGCTGAGCAAGGGCAATGTGGGCATGAAGGTGAAACTTCTCCAACTAATAGGAATGTAAGTTGGGTGAGCAACTGTCCTCCCTTCAGACCTCCAGAAAGAAGATAGAAGTCCCAGTTACCCTCACAGAGGAGGAGAGGCTGACTTTGCAAAGTGCTTATGGAGAAGAGGGATAAATGATAAAGTAGATGGGATTATGATAGCAGAAGAAGGTATTATATGGATAATATATGGATATTTTATACTGTAGCCATATTTGGCTCTGTACATTGTTCCAATTGTGTCCCTCCAGCATTAGAAGTCATCAGATATCTCTGTTCTGTCTCCTAGATGTCCAATGCAATGAGCCAATTGATCGGTTTGAAAGAAAAAGGTTTGCCTCGCATAGCACGGCTCCTTCAGTCCAACAGCTCTGAAGTTGTCCGATCTGGCGCTTCTTTGCTGAGCAACATGTCCCGACATCCTATTCTCCACAAAACCATGGGTAAGTAATCTCCACCACAGAGTATTCCAAAACAATGTCTAGTTTCTACCCTTCTAATATCTGCACTGCACTTCATTTTGTAAACCCCAAGACAGGATTCAGCCAAACACCCAAATGGGACAAAGGCATGTTTTTTGTTCTGGCCAGCTGGACCATTACAGGTGATATGTTTTCTTAGCAAAATGCATGCTATTGCAAAGTCTACATAAAGATGTGGTATGCTTTATAGATAATGAAAAATCTGCAGGGTCACTGGGCTGCTGCCTGGATGTCAGTGTTTTAGGGACTGAGTTGGACTTTACTCCTGACTCATACCATTGCCTTTCCAGAGGCTTACAGCCCTAACCTTGGCTGCAAAAACCAAGTAATGGCCGTTGTGCTATTACTGTCCAACATTAGTAGTGTCTTCTTCAGGGGATAATGTTGCATTCTTGCACTGAATTGTGCTTACTCATGTAGTATCGTTCATTTGTGTTGGGTTTTATTTAAATGTTGATTGGAACATTCCACCTCTTTAGCTCACCAGGTGCTTCCAGATGTATCACGTCTCCTGTCATTCCAGTCTGGAAATACCAACAGCTTCGGAGAGATCATGACATCAGCCTGTTACACTCTGAGGAACCTCATCTTGTCCAACCCACACCTGGGGAAGTCTTACTTGACAAGCAACATGCTAAATAATGTAGTAAGCCTGTGCCGAAATGGGTGAGTTTGGAGTGGAAGGCATACAGACAGAACGTGCAGACATTTTTGAGCCTGTGCACTCTGTGCAAAACCAGATTCATCCCAGAGCCTCCAGAGCACCAATTCAGATCTGTAGGGACTGACTAAAGTATTCTTCTTTCCCTGTCCTTGTAATTGAGAGTACTGAAAAATTTCTAGCCTGTTAGTAGACACAAATCCTCAGCACTGATTACTTGATAACAGACATGAACCATCTAGGGTGGGATTTGTAAAGGATCCTCAGGAAATCTGCTGCTTGAATTTAAAGAAATTCTAAAAGGAACTGAGAGACCAACATCTTAAACCCTGTTAAAAATGCCAGCTGTCAGTACAGGGGATGTCAGGTATGCAACTTGATGCTTTGGCACCTGGGTTTCTCATCCATAGCTTGCCATAGTCCTTATCGTGAAGGTCAGATGTGAGATTCAAGTACAGCTGATATAATCCCATCATGAGATCCTAATGCATCACAGGTAATTGGGATTATGCTTATAATTTTAATGTTCAGATTTGTTCGTCTTTCCATTGGAGCATCCACCTCAAACGGCAAAGACAGTGCTATGCTGAAGCACATATATATTTTTATAAATGCTTCCTCTGGTCTACTCACATATACTCCATGAACAGCAACAACTGAGCAGTCCCAAAATGTTTTACACAGTATTTCTCTTTGACCTGGTTTGATTTTTGATGGTAATAGTTCTGTCCGGATAGTTATCCACTCTTCTTATATCTCAATGCAAAAGACTGTCAACTCTTGCCATATGATATGTTCATTCCTGGCCAAATGAACGTAGAGTTTTTGACTGTGTGTTCCCCTTCCTAGCCTTTCATCTCTCCTACCATCTGTCTTTGCTTTAAAATATCTTGTGCAAATAATAGACATATTAATAATAATAGAATAGACATTCACATGTCTTCTCCATCATCCTTTGACAAACCACTTACAACTTGCCACTTGTTTCATAGTGGCACAGAGAAATTCTCATTCATCAGAAGTGGCCTCTTTCCTTAGTTTGGACCTCAGCCAACAACTATTTGTCAGTTTGCCACTTTTATACGCTTCCACTCTACTACAAGCCCAGTTAACATCAAGCTTTGCCCTCTTTTAAGTCTGTGTTCATTGTTTTGAATGCTATTAACTTCTACTTAAAGTCCTGCTTCAGTTCCCTCAGAGCAGTTGTCAGCTAATCTTCAGCAAAGTATTGCACAACTCGGGTTGTGCACACTTTAATTGTCTTGACTGTTTTGTGTCATGAGCTTTGTTTTCAATGACTCACTAAACTGTGAGTCCTAAGATGTCTTCAGTGTGTTTCTCTTATCTTTGTCAAAATTATTTCTGAGAAACTCCCCAATTCTTATAATGTCCAAAACTGGAATTGTTCCTGTGACCCTATTATCCATTTCTGTCCCCTAGCACTTTCATGCTACTCCATTCTGATGAAAAAAATCCCAGCAATTTACACCCAGGATTACTCTTTACTTATTCCAATCATCATTTCAGACTATTCCCATAGAGCAAATGTGAAAGAGGTCTCTCCTCTAGCAGCTTGGCTCTGCTGATTCACAAATCAGCTTACTTCACCCACTTCACTGTATAGTCTATGAAGAGATACAGGAAATTTTACGGTAGAATTTGTCCAGTCCTTCTACTTCAGAAAGAGCTGATCCCCATTGACTCCCTGACAGTACTGACTAGATCCAACATCTCTGCCAGCAGCTGTTGCCTAGGCCACCTTAGATGCAGACCCCACATTGTCTGCATGGACGTTTAGTGTGATGAGTCCCATGCTATGACACTCCTCCTTCCCAGTGTCATAGCCTGCAGAAACAGAGAATAGAGCAAGAATCAATGGTGACCAAATCACCATGGAGAATACCATGCCATGCTATACCTTGTTAGTATATTGCAGACCTTTCCCTGTTAATTTGCCTCATTTCCACTGTGGACACACTTCCCTTGCCTCAAGCATTGTCTTATGGTTGGTTGACGTGAGTGCGTAACACCTCTCCAGTGCATGCTGCTTCTGCATATTTATGCCATCCACCAAATTGTTCTTTGCCAATAATCTTTAACTGGTCTCTCTTTGCATTTGAATTTATAAATCATTAGTCTGATTACATCCTAACACTTGACTAATTTTGTATTTGTATTTAAGCAGGAACTTCCAGGTTACAGACAAGTAGATTATGAATCTTTTTCTTTTCCATAGGCTTTTCGATAGGCAATCCTTCAGGCATTTCTCATAGTTGAGATTATCTTTTCCTTGATGCTTCCTGTGGCTATATTCTGAGTTAAAGGCATAAACTCTTAAGCAGTTTTTCCGATAGCTATGGTTCCTTCTCCTTTCTGGAGCATCCCAATTACATAACTGTCTCAGTTTCCTGTCTATATCCTCATCCATGACATGGGCTTCATAGTGATGCTATTGTTTGTTCACTCTGTTATTTTTTTAATCCAAGTTGCCAAAATATTGATTACCTTCCTTTTAATGGGGGTTTCTGAAAACCAAGTTGGTATTACTAATTTATTGTGATGCCCTTTTCACCTTTCTTCTCCAATCATCTGAAAAATATTCCTCTGGTCATTTTCAAGCAACATTGTTTTACTGATAAAATTACAATTTTTCTCAATAATTTTCCTGGCTGCACTCCAAAAAGCTTTTTGCCAAAATGTATTTTTATAAACTTAAGACTGTTGGAGTTGCAGTTCTTCTCACAATCCCGTTATTATTGATTTGTTTCAATTTCACTTTCTTTGTTTATCTCACCTTTCCTGTTACACAATTGAATTATGCAATTTAATTCTATGATAAAATGTAATGAAAATCAAGTCTCCCATTGATTCTTTTCTGTAAAAGAGAATTCTTCTCAGCATGAATTTCGAATTTTCCCATTGCTACCAAAGATTTCACTTTGGCACTGACTTTATAAACTTATCATTAAGGATTCTCTCTTCAAGGCATTTTTTTGGCATCTCCTGTGACATGCATAATGCTTTTGATATTCTTGTGCTTTGAGGAAATATAGATCATTTTCCCCGGTTATCTCATATGTTTGTACAAAAACTGTCTGTTGTGCTGCCTTCATGCAGCACTTTCTGCCTACTTCTAATTAGATTCTTGTGTTTTGTGCAATCAATAGTTTCATGGATGACTGTTGCCACTGCCACTAGTGGCACCAACTTTCATTGATTTCTTCTTTATGTTGCATACGATTATAGTTATATGCTATTAATTACTAGCAATTCTGTGTAGGATATATTGCTTTGCATATTTAAGGTTGTCATCACAGCTCCATCAGTTCATCCTTAATCTGTTTATACCTAAACAGTATCATTAGATGCTGTATAAACCATAGCCAGTATCAATTTTTCAAACTCAGAGTGGACAAATTCTTTTGACTGGGTTTAGAAACAGCTCAAATAGCAGGGGCTAGTAAGTTTGGTTTGAAAAAAATATCTTTTTGCGGTATGCTCAGAAGATGCAGCGGCCAAAAGTGCATGTTTTGGAAAAGTGCATAATATGTATTTGTATTAAAAGCAAATCTAGAAGAAAAAAGAAAAAAAAGGAAAAAACTATAGCTTAGAAAAAGGGAAACAAAACCTCCTTGGAAAAAAATGTCCATAATATGCACTGACCATCTAATCACAAACACAGGAAAAAGTTATTTTCAGTCACAAACAATTTTTCAGCCACAAAACATCTTTTTAGACACAATCATTCTAATGACAAGGAGTAGGATAGACATAACTGGAGAAGAGATTTTCCAACACAACATAGTTCTCCTGACCCAAAACACTACTCAAGAAGTTCTAGTTATCCGTGGCTTCCCCAGTCCTCCACACAGTGCCATGTTCAGTCTTCATGTGTGATGGTTGGGTGTGATCTGCAGAATCCCTTGGGTGATTTTGACCACGTTAAATTTGACAGTTCCTGTTAGGCCAGAAGGTCTTCTGTACCAAATGTTGCGTATGTCAGAGAAATGCCTCAGAATTCACTGAATGTGGCTATGCGCCTGCCATTTTATACTCTGAGCAATGAGTTTGCAGGTCCCAGGTTGTTCCTGATGACCACTTTTCCTAGTCTGACATATTATTTTGAGAACACAACGTTTTGTGAAGCTATATCATACTGTGAGCCAGGGAGAGTCCTGCGTTTGGTATCCTACTTCTTCATCACCTTGCTTGTGACAGGCTAAACTCAGAAGTCTCCCACAGCTAGGCCATGGTCCAGCAGATCAGGAGTAGCGATAAGAACCAGCAATGAGTTTTATATCTAGGTGTATGAAATGTTCCAAAATTATAGAAGATACTGTATATGAGTCACAGTTTCGGAGCTGTTACATGAGCAAGTATCTATTACCTTGTGCTGAGTAAGGACTTACGATTACTGTTGTTGTTGGTACTAATGCTCACATCTCTTCCGTTGTCACCAGACAATATAGAGCCCTTTCCTGTATTGCCCTCCTGAGCGATTCACCTATACAGAGTCCAGAGAGGGCTTGGCATCATTTCCCTTCTGTTTCACTATTTCCCAGATTTTGCACTCTGGAAAAGGCCCTGCAGCTCAGCTTAATCTCCTTATTCCATTCAAATCCTCCCCTCCTTTTTTATCAGCCCTGTTTTGGTGCCGGATAACACTGTTGGGAGAGCAATGAAGGTTTTATTGACAGACCTCCATCAAAACTAGTCAGCCCCTCAGCAAAAGACAGGCTCATTCAAAGGCCGTTGATAATGCATACTGATATCTGTGGGCTGCTGCTCTGTGGCTGGGGGAATTCACTGGGGTTATTCTCATCTTCTCAGCTCCTGTCCAAAAGCAGCTGAAGCTGCTCGCCTCCTCCTGACAGATCTTTGGTCAAACAGGGAGCTGCAGAGTGTGCTCAAGCAGGTAAGGAAAATACTTCTGCTTTTCAGCTGATGGAATAAACCTGATCTTGACTCTCTTGTTGAAGTCCGTGAGTTTGCAAAGCTCATGATTCAGCACTGAATGTGAGCAGTGGCCGGAAGAAACCCAGGGCACTGACAGGACCATTAGTGCTCTCCATGCATGCACTCCAGAGCTGGTGCTAGCTCAGGTGGGCTCTGCTGCGATGTAGTCTCATTGCTTCAGGAATTGAAGCTGTCACGTGTGCATGGCACAGCTCTGTGCCAGGAACGGACCAGGTTCCTTCGCGCTAGCTTGGGAAATCCCTGCATCACGGTCCATCGCGTAGGATATGCATGCCCCAACAGATTTCTGGCAAAGTTCCTCCTCTCTTTCCCCACATCTTCTTCTGTATCCATAACCCTACCCTGTGGTCACATCACCCTTACAGTCAGGGTAATCTTTTAAACCAATAAGAGGAGTATTTAGGATTTATTTTCCTCCCTACAACAGAAACTCCAAAAGTGCAGAGGCAGATGGGGCACTGAGCCAGCCTTCCCTCTCTCAGTGGCTTTCTTTGAACAGGCTGGGTTTTTCCAACTCAACATCAACAGCACCTGCACAGAGTAAAGGGCCAAATTAAAGTGGAGTAACATCCACAAAGGGAATACCCTGGGGGCGGGAAGGTAGAGAGTACCTAAATATTCTTATATTAACTGTTAGGGACTTTCTCCCTAGGAATTTGTGCAGCTTTGCATCAGACTCTGCTTAGGAGACCATGCCAGCTCATTTTGATGTGACTGAGTCACTCCTTTGTATTCCACAGATGTTCATTGCATAGGTATACATCAGAAAAGGAGGATGGGAGTCTGCAGGGATATGTGCATCATGCATATATCTTTGTCATTTTTCTGGTACAGGGAATAAGATTAAATAACATTCAGTAAAGGGTTAAGTAAAGTTTTTCTCCTGTAAAGCTAGAGAAGTCCTACTCTTAGCAGATAGAAAGCGATGCGAGGAAGATGAAGTCCAGAAGTCCATCAATAAGGGCGACTGTTCACGTGCCAAGGACACACAGAGGTAGGACAGAGCAAGCTGTTTGTACAGAGAATGAAGCACATTTTTAAGTGGAGGCCAGATTTTCATGTGGAACAGGAGGCTCGCCCTCAGGACAATAGACTACCAGTTTTGAAACCACCATACATTCTCTGCACTTCATATGCATCTGCTTTTTCAGCAAGGATTTGATAAGAACATGATGGGATCTTTAGCTGGAACGACCTTCAGGACCCTCTCCTCCAGATTCTAGGAGCCTTTCCACGTGTGTTCCCACTGCAGGTGAGAGTGGGGCCCTCATCATCGCACAAAGGGAGGTTGTCGGGGCAAAGGAATGGTGCATGAGCCACCCAAGCCTTTTGCTGTTTTCAGTATCCCCTAAAGTGGGTTTGTGACGTTTTCATCAAAATCCTATCAGCCTAAACTGCAAAGCATTTGACTTGATGAAAAGTCAGAAGGCTTGCGGTTCTTGGCTTTTGTGCAGATGCTGCCCATAGTACACAACTGCATATTTTCGACATGCTCAGCATAGATGCCGTAGGATGGGCAAAGCTGCTGGACGTGATTACAGCTCACAGTGCCAAATCTTTGAACTGCACACAACATCCCTCCTCTTTATGGACTGGCAGTGTTTTGCTGCTTTTACTTTCTTTGCTAACTAAAAAGAGAATAATTGCAGTCTGCCAAATCCTGTCAGGTGGGACTTTTCAAAGGAATCTCTCGGAGAGTATTTTCATTTTTGAATTTTGGGTAATGTTAACCAGAGAGTGTCAGTAACATGCAATTAATTCCAGCACGTGCTATCACACTTGCCATCACCCTTAAGCATTTTATGACCATTTAAAAATTTACCAGAAAGCCTTTTGTCAAAATTTGGAACTATATGCTGCCATCTAAATAATCCCAACAGATAAACCACGTTAAGAGAGATCAAGGGAAGAATTTTCGAGGTAGCACTATGACTTTTTATTCAGTGTGAAATGAGGCCTGAATCTGCAAGGTACTGGTGATTCATAATTCTCACTGAAGAGAAAAAGGTTTAAGAAATTCTGCATTTCTCAAATATCAGGTGCCTCTGTGGTGGAGACTGAGATCATATGAAATGAATTGTTTGCTCCCTTCCTGAACATGCTCTTTGTAATCTTGCTAAACACAGTCCTGATGTAAGAAAAGAAGGTACAAAAGCCAATTTCTTTTCTCTGCCCAGGAATGAATTTCACTTCTTGCTTTGCTGGACTGTTTTCACTTAGAATCAGTTTGATACTTGAGAGGAGTGTTGAAGTCTAGGGGAAAAATCTCAGGGCAGCACAAAAACTGGGGACAGGCCAAGGAAAAAGATTAAAAGTTGGTTTTGAATGTAAAGAAGTGATTTATTGAATGCTTTAATTATGTAGGTTTTTCTTTTTTCTTTGTTTTTCTCCATTTCAGAATTTGGTTTTGGTTCATCTCCAGAAAGACAACCCTTGCAGAATTACTTAGGATATTACAGATGTAGAGTGTTTCTGAGTTAAACTCAACTGTAAAGCAAACTATGCGGATTTCATCTGGATGATACTGATATTTTTAATCATTTTCTTCTTTTTAGGGGGGAGAAGGGACTTTTATTGAGGTTATACTTTCCTGATGTCAATAATTATTTTTTTGCAAAGAGTGTGTCTGTGTAACTATGTATGTGTAGCTGCGTATGTGTGCACGCCCACAACATACATGTGCACATATTATGAGTAGGATCTTCCTACAGGCATAGTCCCCTGTCTTCCACTGAAAGTCAGTGTGAGTTGTGCAATTAAACCCCTTGCAGAGTTTTGACGAATTCCACCCTATCTGTGCACCAAATACTGCCACACTAAATACTTGTCACAACCTAATTTTACTCACAAGTATAAAATTACCAGTTATATGCTAAGTCTTTACCCCATTGAGTATGGCTCTTATAAATAGATACACACCACAGTGCTCTTTAAAAAAGCTTGTTATTCCTAACATTTATGAACATGGGCTTCTTTTCTGCTTTGGAATTGTTCTCAAATGAGCTCTTATAGTTATTAGTATTTTCTTTCATGTCACATGAATTCTTTATCTTAAGAAGCAAATTCATGTCTGCAAACTCCCTCCTGGGTCTCAGTAACCATTCCCTGAAGCTATAGGCTAGGGGACAACTATAACACATCTGCAGAGCATGAATATACTGGGGTCCCAAATCAATCCGGGGCCCCGGTATAATCATTCTGAACACTAGAACAACTCAGTCTTGTAAAATATGTCCAATTCCTCCCTTTGTAACACTGTACCTAGACAAATGTGGCGTTTGAGAAGCTGAGCTGGAGACATCAAATGCTATTTTTCCCAGGATCATTGACTGCCACATAGGGCTTGAACATGAGGGATGTGGCATTTTTATCGCATTTTGTTTTTACTAATCAATGTAAAGAATTAGTATTAAAATGCGAAGGAATGTAAACAGTTGTGTGAAGTCAGATTTGGAAATACTTTATTTCTCAGTATCTTTAATTACCTGAATCACTCTGTCCTGCTAAAGCTGTGATAGGGGACTGCTGCGCTCCTTTTAGGGCAACCCACCTCTTCCTGTGACAGTAACCATGTCCTGAAGGACCTCCAGCTAGGAGGGGATATAGCTCAGAGCCACAGGGACAGGATCAGCTACATTTTCTGAATGCATTGGCTGGCTGTCCCACACAAGATTATTGCTTCTTTGAGCAATGATGTGGGGCCACAGGACATTGTTCTTCAAATTTCAAATATCCAGGAGGTGCTTGGGAAGGACAAATTATGGAACTGAGTCTGGATGGGGAAAAAACATTTTGGTTTTTGTGAGGGGGGTAAAAGCTGGTGTCAGACTCCTGGGTTGCTGGAAATCAGCATAGCCCCATTCACTTCATATAAAATGCTGTGATTTGTGCCCACTAAGGATCTGTCCCTAAAGTTCAAATTTGCTCTGATATGGCTCTAGACCTAAGAAACGTGGTGATATTCACCCCCTATTTAGACCGTGTGGTGCATGTTTCTGCAGGGAAGGTACCAGAATGGGTTGCCAGCTGGTTTTTCTCTAGGACTACAAAGGGTGGCATCATCTTGTGCACTTTAATGAGCAACAACTATTTGCTTGCATTCACCCACATTCGGTCGAGAGCTTTCTATGCAGAGCTCTCAGCCAAATGAAAGAGAAAAAAGCACCTTTGAAGTGGAGAGCTAGAACCAGATGAATCTGGTAGGACAGTTTCAGGAGCATTTAAGCAGCAGCAAAGGAGCCTAGGCCTTTGGGTATGCCCTTGCCATACCTATCAATTGTTAAGTAT